CATCCATATAAAACTATACTTTTAAAGATGGAATTATAAATAGTGTATTTTTTCTCATATGAGATGTGTTTGGACCATAATACTGAGTTCAGGCACCCGATGACTTTTTTGCCTTTCATTATTCTTTCCTCGATCTGTTCGCCCGGTATTCAGTATTCTTTCCTCGTCTCTGTTCGCCCGGTATAATCTATCTGAGTTCCAAGGTAGGTGTATTTACTGCATGACCCTATCCCTATATTTCCATCCAGATGTAAAATTTCTGCTGCTTGGCCTATACATAAGTACTTAGTCTTCGACGTATTTACCGACAACCCCCACTTTTCATACTCGCTTAAAAGTCTTGTTGTCATAAATTGTAGGTCTTCCTTATTTTGAGCCACTACCACTTGATCATCTGCAAAATGAAGGTTGTATAGAGTTGTTTCGTCGTTAAGTGGTATTCCCATTCCTCTGCACGATCTTCTCCATTTTTCTAGGGTTTCATTCAGATAGATCTTAAATAATATCGGGGATAGGCAACAACCTGTCGTAGGCCCTTAGTTACAGGAAAACCTACAGATAGCGCCGTACCAAGTTTTATTCTTGATGTTGCCTCATTATATAGCTGTTTAACTGCTTCTATCGCTGTGTTATTTATAGAGGATTAATCCCTTTTAATGATTGATGGACCGGATATTCAACAAAAATATGGTCCACGGACATTTTTTAAAAGTAATGTTTTTTATTGTTTTTAAGAGAAATCTGTAAGCGATACTTTTATTACCATCCAACATATTTTGATATAAATCAATTCAAAAAATTAAATAATTAGACCATTTCTTAAACAGTTTTACATCGTGGATTATAAGCTGATAAAAGGCGGACCACCAGAACAGTTAGCCACTGTTGCCCTGTAGTTTTACGATTTTAAGTTTTGGAAATATGTTTTTTATATTGTAGTTAATAATATTGGACAAATTAAAACTAACTATTCTTGTGTAACCTTAGCGGAATAGCCAATTTAATCTACCATCGGTGACTGTTTTCTAATGCGTTGTTTTTGATTATTCATATCAGTTTAATATAGTGGTATTACATTACACTTCATTACAAACTAATGATATTTATTTATACTCCATGTCCCAATAACAATAAAAAACAAACAACCAATCACGGCTTACCTCGTTCGATTTCGATCTGTTTCGGAGTTTGCGGCCGAGACAAGCCAAGATTCTCCGCAACATAAGAAAAAAGATTCTCCGCAACATAAGAAAAACATTTTTTAAAATTTTATACATTAAATTTGGTAAAATAAAGCAAACGATTTTCTGTAAAACTTACTTTTTTTCTACTTAACTTTATTTCATTAGTTAACAGTAAGTATACAGGGTCGTTCACCACATACGACACTAGGAGTATTGTAGTTAAACGATTAGATTTTTACAAATTATTGAAGGACTATTAGAGCTACAATTTAAAAATAATTTTACAAGATACAGAGTGTCCCAAATAAGTAAAAAATATTATAGTGTATTTTTTTAAATGGAACACCCTGTATATTATTCTATTTTTAGATTCTACGATTGAAATAAAGGTAAATTTGATTAAGGTTTATCACACTTAAACCTTATCGTTTTTTAAATATTTTCAATTTTCTGTAGGTGCAGTAAAAATTTTAAGGCTTCATTTCTCCAAGGGTATCAAAGTTTTTAATACTAAATCTTTACTGAAGATTATTTATTGATCAGATATTGTGTTGCAATAATAAAAATTGTACTACCTTATACAGAGTGTCCAAAAATTTATATTAAATAATTACGAGCTTTAAACGGCAATAACTTGATTAACTTAAAGAAAAACACCCTGTATATTTACGAGGATCACGAGAATCATATGCACAATTTAATTGTCTATCAAATTGTGTTATACCATTTTTTCCCTATCTCTTCAAGTTTTCGTAGAAAATCCATTTATTTATAATTTAGACCTCATTTATCACTATGCCCATGGAATATTGACATTTTAGATTATTTTTAAACATGTAACAAATTTTCAAAGAGTCAGATACTAATATTGTCGATATACTAGTTCGTTTATTTCATTAAAAAACAGTTTAAACACAGTTTAAATATTTGTTAAAGAGGACCAATTAATATGATCCTAGAATCCAAACTACATTAATTGAATGTTTACCTTGATTAATAATTGAAAAAAAAAACTGAATTAAAAATACTAAAAAACTGAATTTTGTATGTGTATTAGACAGTGTGGTAAAAAGTAACACCTTCTAATTTTATTTCATTTTTTGACGAATGCTTATTTATACAACAGAGATGGTCATTTTCATAACTTATTATTATGTTGATTTCTGAGTCAAATCCACATTTATTTAGAATAATTTATTAATTAAAAAATAAATTAAGTATGTAATTAACTAATTTTTGGGCGGAAATAATGGTGGTATATTTAATTGGTATACTCTTTTACAAAGATTTAAATAGTTTTCCCTTTGTAAACAAATGGGCTTGGAATATTATTATTTTTACCACCTGTACATTTTGTACATATGTTATTGCCGTTTAAATCTAGTAATTGGTTGGTAACCGAAAATCACGCAGTGTACGTTTTCATGTGAAATAAAATATAATTGTACGAAAGAAAACAATAAAATATTTGGAGATTGTTTTCCAAGCGGGAGGAGGCTTTTCTGAGCATATCCGCCATACAGTTTTGAAAGCAGAAAAACAGGGGGCCATGTTATCCAGAATTATGCCAAACTGGTCTACCTTGGGTCAAACGAAACGCCGAGTGCCAGCTGCTGTACAAGCATCTAAAATCCTGTATGGATCCGAAATTTCGGGAGAAACCTGCAAAGTTCGGAATCATAAAGAGAAACTTCTTGCAGTGCAACGAAGATTGGCCATAAGAGTATGTTGTGGATACAGGACAATATCTGCGGAGGCTGCACAAGTTCTGAGCTCAATGGCCCCGATAGACATAGTAATTGAAGAAAGAATGGAAAGGCAAGAACATTCAGGAAAAACAGCGGAAGAAAGTAGAAATAGAGTTCTGGAAATATGGTGTAAAAGATGGAGTGAAAACAGAAATGGGAAAGGTAAATGGACTAGAACACTTATAAAGAACCTAGAGTGTTGGATAAATAGAGAATATGGAGAAATGAGCTATGCCATGAGTCAATTCCTTTCTGGTCACGGTTGTTTCAGGTATTACGTACATAAAATAAAGTTAGGTGATAGCCGGAGATGTCTCTATGGCGACTCCGATGCTGATACGGTGGAGCATACCCTTTTGGAATGTAACCGATGGACAGCTGAACGAAGAGTCCCAAAAATTAAGATTTCCGATCTAGTTCCAGAGATGAGTCGATCCCCAGAAAATTGGAATAGTGTTCACACTTTTATGGAGACACTAATAGATGCAAAAGAGAAAGAGGCTGGACGAAGTAACTAAAACATCGAAGTAAAACCGCCTCCTCGAGAAGTAATGCCGAAAGGTAGTTCCTCGGGGAGATATTCCAAGCGGCTTGTGGAGGTTTTTTAGTCGGTAAGGTACCTCAACCACCCCGCCGACAGTATCACATACGGTCTCTGGTGTGCAGATTTTTCCCCACAAAAAAAAGCTAGTAATTATTTAATATATATTTTTGGACACTCTGTATAAGGTAGTACAATTTTTATTATTGCAACACAATATTTGATCAGTAAATATTTAGTATTAAAAACTTTGATACCCTTAGAGAAATGAAGCCTTAAATTTTTTACTGCAATTTCACAAAATTGAAAATATTTCAAAAACGGCAAGGTTTACGTGTGATAAACCTTAATCAAATTGACCTTTATTTCAATCGTAGAATCTAAAAATATAATACGGTTCGTACAGGGTGTTAAAAATACAACTATAATATTTTTTACTTATTTGGGACACTCTGTATCTTGTAAAATTATTTTTAAATTGTAACTCTAATAGTCCTTCAACGAACCCAATACTTACAATTTGTAAAAATCTAATCGTTTAGCTACAATACTCCTTGTCGTATGTGGTGAACAACCCTGTATATAAGAAAAACTAAACGCGACTATTGCGTCCACAAATATTTCTTGTACGTAAATATTTCTTTTCTGTACGAACGAGTGGGAGTAGCGAAAGGCACATTGTTGCCAGATTGATAATTAAAGGGGTGGCTGCAATAACCAGGCAGCTCCATTTTAATGAATTTGTGGGAAATCGAAAAATAGCTGCTCGGTTCTTATTTCAAACACAGAACAAGGCAGCTAACTAACGTCGCCATTTATGTACGATTTATATTGAGAGAACTGATTGTTCCAGGAAACGGAAGGGTAATCCATGAAAAATCTCATTTTGGAAAAAAGTGGAACTGCCTGGTTATTGCAGCCACCCCTTCAATTTTATTAAGAATTGTGGCGATAGGCGATTATTTTTCAAAATTTTGAGTTTGGTATGTAAAAAGTGGACTTTTTCAATATGTGCGAGAAAAGAGAACAAACAGTACGATCAAGAAAATGACTGTACTCTGAAATAGAGGACGGTTGGCAACCCTAGCTGTGTTTATGATACCTTAATATGCGTTTTATTTTCAAAACTTATTAGGAGCACGTAATATAACCTTATATTTTATAATACACAATAATTGAAATTGGAAAACCTTTAAATTAAACATTTATTTCTCATCTCGTTTTGATTATTCCTATATTATTATGGAAAATAAATTTAAATTCAATTATCGTCAAAAAATTAAGGATGTTATATATTTACTTTTTTTGACGCTAGTGATAAGAGCCGACAAGTATTCGACATTCTTAAATTTATTGCCAACCAAACGTGCAAAATCAGAAAGCCGTCATATTCGACCAATGTTGATCGTTCCGTATTTATATTTTTTTCTACAATTTTCTATTACCACAAATTAATATACATATATCCACATTACATACTTTTACTATGAGATTGCTTAGAAGTGACATATTATATATTTTTTTTAGAATTATAAAAACCATTTAAAATTATTTCATAATAGTACTGTAATGGATATGGGAAAAACTGTTACAGACAAATGTTACGAATCTTTAATTCCCAAAGGAGTAGTAGAGTTGAAAGACAACTGTGTTGGAGGGCCACTATTAGTTGATAATATGTTAACAGACGGTTTTGATAATTCAAATTTGCTGATACAGCAACAAGACCCAAGTTCCTTTGATATGCAAATAAATGATTTGTTAGAGGTTGACACTTTAAATTTAGGAGTCGATCATATATTAAATTCCAGCATAAGGGATTTTGATTTACTAAATTCTGATGTCAACAGAAAGGAAGATGAAAAGGACACATATATTTGTGATATTTGTTTGAGAACATGTAGTAGCCTTAAATCGATAACGTCACATTTGAAATTACACATGGCCAAATATTTTTGTTCTTTATGTAAAAAGGTAAGTTTGTTAAAGTTCTGTATTGAATAATTAGATGCTTTTTTTATATATTTTTTGAATAACTAAGTAACAGCATAAGAAAGGATGTTGGATAAATTAGATATATTATTTGCCAATGAGCCCGAAAATTATTATTGAAAATATTTTTTGGATTAAAATACTGCGACATAGCAATGAGAAAAAAACTAATATTTAGAAAGAAACTTACAATAACCTATTTCTTTTATATAGTTATTTTTTTAATAAAAAGATTAAGGAAGGAGTATAAGTCTACCATATGCATGGTAGACGGAATCGACATAATAAGTGGGGACCTAGGGTGGGGATTTTTCCACCCTAAAAATTTGACAAAGTTTGATGTTTCATAACTTTTTATTTTGTATTCCGATTTTTATGATTTTGGTATCAGTGTGAAGATAAAGTCAGTGAGGTCGACAAAATCGGTTTCAGGGTCTACCCCATAGAGACCCCATAGACAAACCAAAACACGCGTGTTTGAAATGTTGTCTAACTTGATCATCCAATTGTAGAACTTCGACATAAAAACGTTACGCTTTCTAAGCGGCAAGCGAAAGTATTCGATTAGCGGAACGCCAAGCAGTGGATTTTGGTATTCTCGTTGCCGTGCGAATCGTCTTAGACCTCTCTCTTTCAGACGAGGATACTCTATGCGAGATTCTGTATACGGGATAAAGAATTACAGTCGAATACTGTCGAGATACTCTTTTGGCATACTTTTTTTTAGGTACAAAATAATATTCTAGTTTAAAACAAATTTCAGTGCGGTTCAGTCGTATTATTGTATTATAAAATGAATATTGAAGAGTGCGTTCTGCTGTGGCATATATGTAATAATACAAAGCTTATACATTTCTCATTATCGAAAGCGGCACGATCCATGGTTCTCTTATTTATTGTTCGAACCATGTTCGAACTCACTCTCACTACTGAATTATTATATTACTATAATAAACCTACAATAAATATTCTGTTCGCCTGTGAAATCGAACTTTTTGTATCACAAAAGTATGCGAGTCTGAACAGGTCCATAAGCTACTATGATAATTCTGTACCCGGTTGTTGTATCATTGTTCTGAAAATTCCACATTCTAAAATTCGGCCGCGCGATACTGTATGCGTCGCCGAATGCCATGTGTAAGGTATAATTTAACTACATGCTTTTTCTGTATCTGAGATACGTGTGGGATACAGCGTCTTCGTCTGAAAGAGGTCTTATGGAACGCGTTCAGCACATATTGGCAGCATCGCAATTTCTCAGGTATCTAATAGTCAAATGTGTAAAAACGATGTGAAAAATGTCAATGTTACGTAAATTTTATAACTTATTGTTGAGTTATCTCAACTAGAGGTATGTAGTTCGTGAACGAATTAGTTCCAATGAACTATTCCGACCCTGGAATGAAAGGAACTAGTTCCTGGTTTCTCAAAGAACTAGTTCCTGAGGATCTATTCCGGGATCGAGACTGTGACCGATATAGAATAATATGCGACGGCGACGGATCGGCTAGAGCGCGTAGCCCGGTGGTAGGCAGGAGCATTGGCATTTTTCATCGTGTCAGCCGTACGTCATCGGATCCGGACCTAAAGGAACTAGAGTAACTAGAGGAACTAAATAAAATACTAGTTGGATCAGCCAGCGCGATTGATGCTAGGCAGGCGTGGGGAGTGCCAGCCGTATGTTATCGGATCCGGACATAGAGGAACTATTAAGACTAGTTCACGGAAATCTATTCAGTCGGCAGATCCGAGATATAATACAAGGCGACGACGATGGATTCGGCCTTGTCTATTGCCACAGCCGGCGCGGCAGAAAATTGTCGTGGATACTGTTTTTGATTGTTAGTTTGTTTTTTAAATATTTTATGGGAATGTTTCACTTTAGGTCCCTAAAATTAAGAAATATCTTATAAAACGAAGTAGATATTCTGAATTTTTAGACAAAAACAAAAAGCTTGAAGTGAGGAAAAATGCAATTTTTCGTAAAATTTTTGTAATATTTGCTCCAATTGATTTGTGATATAGTTTTTTAAATTCTGATTTGAGTTTTTTTTTATTTTTTTATCTGCATTAAAACTTACCTATATGTTTTTAACATACACAATTACACGTCTCTCACGTTATATCTCCGTACATTATAAAAATTATACAGATCATACTGTGAATAGTTCTGACTGACAACGAAACGCGTTTCGATGTTTTGAACAATATTTATAGCTGCCAAGTCGTAAATTATCAATTACTTTTTGAGTACAGTACGTTTGTCCGTTCTGTAGCTACGGGGTATCCGTGAGAGGGGAAACGATATTCTCTCGATGTTTTTCGAATAAAATTAGACGACGCGTCCCATCAATAAAAATTCGACAAATTTGCAAGTAGCCAATAAAATGAGTGGGCGGAGCAATTTGCGGTGACGTACTCGTCAAGTCGACGTATAAAATATATTGCTGTTTATTTAAATGTTTTTTGTCCGCATTCCTTTCATAGACACAGATCTAGCAGACGTACTGTAATTTATAGAAGAAGAAATAGTTTTCACTAAAGAGCAAGAGAAGGCACAAAATCGCAATTTTTTTAATTGTTACTGAACTTTTGACAAGCAAAACGATCCTTTAAGGTAGCCTTTTTCAAATCGCTTAGCTCAATGGGTAAATACGCTAAGCACATCAAATGAGAATACCCAAGTTGGTAGTTAAGTGCGCGCTAAGCGAAAATTAACGTCATATACGCTGAGCGTCTAAAGCGCTTAGCGTTTTCTAAGTTACAGAATTCGGGCTTTGTTAGGGTTTGAGACTGGCACTTTAGATGGACCTTTCACATGCCAGGGCAAAATTAACAACTGACGTAACAGCAAATTATTTGAACTTTGTTTTATGCCATGTGTTTTGCCCATGTTTTGCCGTTTTGTGTGCGTTAGCGTTTTTTTTCAAGGTCTTCTTGCCTTTATTCTGACTGTGCGCTTTTAAATTTTCTATTCTATATTGAGTGGGCTCTTTTATTCGAATTTTTTCTTAGTTAAAAGAACGTTATCAGCTTTCAAGGCATTTAACAGATCACTTCCATTTTAACTTTTTCATGAATATAAAATAGGGGATACCTAGAATCTTTTTTCTTCACATTTTCCGGTGCCTGCTAAAATTACCCAATAAAAGAAAAGGTACATGTTGACTGATATTAGTGATGGGCAAAACTGTTATTTTTAGATAACAGTTGAAACTGTTATAGTTATTTATAAAAAAAACAGCTTAAAATAACAGCTTAAAAATAACAGGGTTCTTTATTTTATTGCTAAATATCTGAAAGAGTATGAGGCGGTCGCAACGCAGTTGCAAGTTGCAACAATGACGTGGTAATATTCCCAGGGTGTCAAAACATTTCTAAATATCGATTGTTATCTAAAATAGCTCTCTAAAAACAAACGGTGGTTGTTTTGTAAATAAGCGCTGTTTACAAATTGCGATATAAAAAAAGCCAAAATCGGGACGCGCATCGAGGGGCCCCTCGATGCGCGTAGATCCTGAATTGCGTAGCAGTGTACAGGGTGCATCTCACTCGACGGAGAAGCTCTTCGTTAAGATTTTACCATTTGCGGTCAAACAATAGCAATATAAGAAAATGTGTAGTATATTTTTCATAAGTAAACCAACTACACACTACAGTTCGAATTAATTTTACACTTAAACAAGCGTGCACCCGCGACTTCGCGTCGAATTAATAATTTGTAATGCTGATGATAAAGCAAAGCAAGAATTTTACGCTTTTTACGTCAAGGGCTTTGAGCAGGATCGTGATTAATCAATGACCAGCTTTTTCAAAACACCCTGTATACATTTTTAAAAAATTTTAAAATATTCTGAAAATTTTATTCTGAAATATATACATTTTTAAAAAATCTTAAAATATTATTCTGAAACTTAATAACGTACTGAAACATACAGCGCCATAATATCTCGACCTCCGCCCGTTATGCTCGTAACAGGTTGAAAAACGATGTATCTAAAACAACTGATGCGTTATTCTCCAACCTGTTTCGAACCTCCATCGACAATCGACCGATGCAGCAGCGTTCCTTTCCCACTCCTGTTATCTCGACCGCCAGGCGTTATGCCCGCAACTGTTTCAAAAAAGCTGCTTCTTTTATATCCTACTAGCGTGTACCCGCGACTTCGTTCGCGTCGAATTAATCATTTGTAATGGAAGCAAAGCAAGAATTTCCATTAACATACAAACTGGATAAAATTTTCTCACATTTATGTCAGCATGAGAAAAAACAATATGGCGATATTATTATATAACTTGGTAATATTTGAGGGGTAGTTTCAACTCGTTGGAATTTGACTTTCGAAAAATCCGTTTGCCAAAAATAAGCTTTTTACGCCAAACAGTTTAAGCAGAATCGTGGTTAAGAAATTACCCAACTTTTTGGAGCACCCTGTATGATTTTTTTTAAATTTCAAAATATGTAAAAAACAAATAAATTATGCTTGTCCAAGCGATTTCCCGAGAGACTAACCGTTTTTTAAATAACAAATATTGTAATATTTGAGGGGCGTTTTCAGCCTTTTGGAATTTGAGATTCGAGAAACCCCTCCTTATCGAACCTCTACACCCCACAGTCAATCCGTTTACCAAAAATCAGCTTTAAATCTTAAACAGTTTAAGCAGAATCGTGTTTACTCAATGGTCATATTTTATGAAACACCCTGTATAAATTTATAAAAAATCTTAAAATATGTAAAACAACAAAATAAAATATACGTGTTTAAGAGTTTTTCCGAAAAACTCACCGGTTTTTAAATAGAAAATATTTTAATATTTAGGGATAGTTTCACCCCTTAGAATTCGAGTTTCGAAAAATCCCTTCTTATCGAACCTCTACACCCTAAAGTCAATCTGTTTTCCAAAAATCAGCTTTTTACGTCAAGCGCTTTAAGCAGGATCGTGATTAATCAATGACCAGATTTTTCGAAACACCCTGTATA